TTTTGAGAACTGAAAGCTGTTGACGAGTAAGTCAGTATGAGATTTAGTTTAGCCATGATATAATTGCCCAATGTATCGACAACAGTTTTCTTAAAGATTAATAAACACACCTTGCTGGCCTGACTGTGGGTTATAGTAAAAAAAAAAATAATAATTAAAAAATATATATAAAAGAAATAGGTAAGAATAAAAATTAATTATTATAAGTATATATGATAGAATTGATTGGAGAAAAGTTTAAATCTAAAGCTTATCAAGATTAAGATTCATTTTTATGATTTTTATAATAATTAAATGGGTGTTCTAGTTAAAATACCTTCAAACTCTTTATAATAAAATAGAAAAATCTTATTTCCTACAAGATTCTTATTAAAATCAAGTAGCAAAGCAAAACATCAAATAATTCTATAAAATAATTTATTAAAAAAGTAAACAATAAGACTATAATATATCAATAAATAATATACAGTAAAATAAAATTAAAAAAAATAGAGCCATCAGATTAAAGAGCAACCAAATTATTTGTAAGATCTAGTATAAAAAAAAATAAATATATATATATAAGATACATTTTTCAAAAATTTATAGAGAAAAAGTTTTCTTATTAAGTTGACAAATAATAAACTACTAATATTAAGTAAGTTAATAATTAAAAGACTGAATTTATATAGATAAGTAAAATATATTGTATATAATTTTCATAAAAAAGAGATAATTAATCACTTGTTGGAATATTTAGTTTATAAGGAATAGATAAAAAAAATATGGAACAAAAATTTCAAAAGAGTTCTTAAAAACTTTAAAGACTCTTGCAAAAAAAAGAAAAAATGAAGTTACAAAAAAAAATACAAAATTGATAGTGAATAATAAAGAAAAAATAAGAAAAGTTGATAAGTAAATATTTAGGTTAGTAGAACAAATTTCAATAATAAGTTAGAATACATTAAATTTTTATATAAAATTAATAAAAAATAAACTTATTTTCAAGTTAATAAATTTAAAATATTATGATAAAAGAGTTGAAAAAGAAGTAAGTAAATAGATAAGGAAAATATAAAGTATAGTGTATAATTAATTTTATATAAAGATTTAAAATGTAAAATATGAAAAGATAATATAATAGAAAAAAATATAAAAAATTAAAAAAAAAATAAAATAAAAAGATTTTTAGATCTTAAAGTTATAAAAATATATTATTGAAAGAGATGTTTTATTATCAAAAGAAGAAAAGAAGAAAATTAAGATCTAAAAAATATCTTATCAAAAAGAATCAAGTTTATAATAAAATAATCAAATTTTGAGTTCTATCAAAACTTGAATAAATAATCTGCAGCTAATGATATTAAGAGTTAAAAAAGTTTTTACTTGACTTTTTAAGCATTTTAAATAATTCATAAATAATATTAGAATAATTCATATTATTATAATATAATGTTATTAAAAGATCTATTAAATGGATATATTGTTTGAAAGAGATTTTAAATATAATAATAAGAAAAAAAGATAAGAATCAATAACTAAATTCAAAGATAAAAAATTATTGAATAAAAGAAATTATTAATATATTTAAAGAATAAAAAACAAATTAAAAAAAGTAGATAAATAAATAAAATTCAAAAATATTTAAAAAGTTAAAAAAATAAAAATAAAAAAATTTAAATAAATTCAATAAGTTAAATTGATTAGAACAAGTTTCAAAAAAAAAAAAAAATTAAACTAAAATCTTTAAAAAAAAAACATTGAAAAAGAAGAAAGTGAAAGAGAAAAAGAGAAAAAAATAAAAAAAAAGAAAAGCAACAAATAGCTTAATCAAATAATTTGTAATTTTATAATAAATTTCATAAAATTTGTTAAATTTCTAAATAATTATCAAATTTTAATACTATTTTAATACTATAATAAGCTAGATTCATTAAATTTTTATCATCATAATATATAAATTTTTTATTAAATTTTATATCCAATTTTTTGTCACTATATATAAATTTTTTACTAGATTTTAATATCAAAATTTTTTGTTTCATTATATTGAATTTGATATTAATTTATTGTCAAATTTGATTTTTAATTAATTAAACCTATTATATTTAAATACTTTATTAGAAATTCTTTTTAGTAAAATCAATACTATAGCTCCGAATTGATTGTGTAACAATTATAAATATTTTTTAAAAAAAAATTTTTTTTCCGAGATATTTGAAATATCATTTGTCGAGAATGCACCCGGGAGTCCGGAACGGAACATTGGATGGTCGACGACATTTGAATTTTGAGCGAGCACCTTTCGGCTTGAGTGCGCACCTACGGGGAAAACGCGTACTATATATACAGCGTGTATGAAAGGTATGCGTGCAATATGTGCGTGCGCAAATCCATCCTTCGGATTACCAAACCGAAAAAGAAGAGGTGATCTCGTCATCTTATTTCTTGGTAGCCAGTAAATTTTTTTCCACATGATTGGGACATTTACGCATTATGAATAATATTACCTAATCAAATCAAATACATACGATGCGTACGTACATACCTTTAATCAGGTGAAATGGTTCAAACAACTTCTACAAAATGAGTGTTACCGGACCGTGTGCCGACACTGTGCCCACTGCAGAAAAAAAGTTCACCAGCAAACAAAGACTTTTTTTATACTTCTCTTCTCACTCTCGAACAGCTTTTCCATTTTTGAAAACACCGTACATAAAGTTTCTCTTGTGTTCTCTCTGGGAGGGCATTTTTTCTATTAAAAATTAGATCTTGGTAGACTTTTTCTTAATAAATATATGTGTTCAGAAAGGCGTTTTTCATCTTAACCTTGGTATGAGAACCTTAAAAAACTCCTACATAAACAGAGTTTATTGTTTTATCAACTTTAGATGGTTTCAGCCATAAATTCTAACAAACTTGCTTGTTTTTTTTTTTTCTCAACCCTCAAACCTGCAACCTCTCTCCAGTTACAGTAAAAAAAAAAAAAAAAACATCAAAAAGACACTTTCCGGCCGTAATAATATCCTGTTTACATTAATTAAGTTTGTCAACGATCGACCATGAGAGAATCAAACTTCTCCTTTCCCTCACAAAACCGTGCATCGGTTTGCATTACTTCCGCTCTCTATGACCGCAGAGCTCTCGACTGTACGGCCATCTTACCTTTAATCAACTCTCTCACACATCTCACCTATTTGACGAGTACTTCACCTCGCATCCGAGAGATTCTCACGATGGACGGTGGACTAGAACGCTTGGTTCGCATACTTAAAACTACCAAGGTGAACGACAAAAGAAGTGGTTGGAAGTGGTCAATGGCATTTCAGTGTGTTGCTAACGTTGGCGTGCGTGGTTCGGAAACAATAAGAACAAGAGTAGTGGACGCTGGTATGGTACCAGTCATTATAACTGTATTGGACAATTTTTTAAGGGCCCTTGATCATGTTAGGTTGGAAAAAGAGCAGCAACAGTTGCTTGCCGCTCAACTTCTTACATCTCAACATCCACCGCTGATTTCGACAACTTCACCTTCTGCCATTCCCCTCGCCTCTACTTTCGTCGGTACTTTAGAAAGTGGTAACGTGTCAAATGTTATTCAGATGTCCGATGAATCTGAGCAACCCTTAACATCCTACCCTCGTTCACCTAATTCAACATCACCCATTTTCGCTTCTTCCGAATTTCAAAATGACACATCAGACATTTCGCATGCTGGTTCATCAAATATGCAATCTGTGATTTCGAATTCGAATTCAGCTACCACTTCTACTAATAGATTCTTGACAGCACCATATGATATAAGATCGTCTGATGACGCAAGGTCAGATGTGGCGTCCTGGGGTTCAGTTGCCGATAACGAAGAGACGGCTCTGACAACCACGTTGACACAACTACCGCCAACAATTACCGGTACGACTGGTACCAATAATCAGAGGACATCCAATAATAATAATGCGGCTGCCGTATCAACAAATTCAACATTTGAAATCGACGTTCTTTACCGTGAAGAAGAGATCCTCTTGTCCCTTCAACTCCTAGCTTACCTCTCGAAATATCCTCACTTGCGCGCTACATTCCATAACGCTTATCCACCTCACAACGTATTTTCCCTTGTAGAAAAATTCACCCACCGCCTTCACCCTCCTGAAATTCAATATTGGGCCGGAGTTATCATGCGTAATGCTTGTCGGAAGGATGAAGATCGTGGCGGCATTCGTCAGTGCGCTTATATGGCTTGCGGAAAATGGGAAAGCTATCCTAGAGAATTTGCGAAGTGTAGGAGGTGTCGCAAGGCCAAGTATTGCTCTAAGGCCTGTCAGTCAAAAGCTTGGAGCGAAGGACATCGATGGTGGTGTATGGAGCGTCATGGCCACGGGGAATCCGATGGTACGACACCCAATGGGCAGGCAATTTCTGCTGCTTCCATGTCCTCAGGATTAAATGGACACCGCTCCAGAGCGAATTTGGTGCATTCCACTGATAACATGGCTCGTTCAACGAACCGCGAAACGACACCATCAACGACAACTGGCACGACACCTCATAGTCGTGGATCAGGATCGGGATCCGTTTTAGTGTCGTAATGGTACGGGTAGCATTATTTTAATCAGACTTGTGAGACTTTTAAATTTAAGTTTATTGCTTGCATTATTTGTTCGATGTTAGGCAAAAGTCTTTCGGATAATCATTTTATTTACATTGTTTATAGTCCACGTGTAGAATACGGGGTAAATGTATGGAGTTTTTTTTTTTTTTTTTATTTTACTTCTGATTAGGAGTTTGGTTTTTCTGGGGATAGAAGGCGAGATTTTTTGTTTGTCGTGCTTGAAACTTTGAAAACAATCGATATTTCCTATATATTTTTTGTATTTTTTGCTATATTACCCACTGTACGTTTACAAAATTACTTCCCGCTGTGCAATTTTGCTTTATTTATCTCCCCCATCCTATCCTATCCCTCTATTAACTTCAAAGACCCTTATTCTCGCCTGTTTAGCATAATGTATACAGAATTGTCTATATATATTCGAAAGAAAAGCATGGCTGTACTTTTCCTGTATCTGTTCTGTAATGGCGTATGCGGTTTAATATAGAAATTATTTTCTTCTTTCTTTCCTAGATTTGTTGCAAATCATCAGATGTGTTTTCTCGTGCTCTTCGATGATTCAATTAGTTCCGAGACATGATTTTTGACAATTATCTTTCTTTACTTTTCACAGGAACACCAATAAGCTTCCAAGAATTTAGTTATTTAG